ATGTCATGAGACACATATTAGACAAGGGAGCTGTTGGTGTTGCAGTACAAAGCAGAGAAATGCCTTAATTCTTCTGAGTCACTAAGAAAAAAAATTCATGCTCTACCATCAAGCTTTCTGCTGTTGTTGCAGTGGTCTGTCACAGAAGCTAACTGCTTCCCTGCATCTGTTTGAAAATCAAGATTCTATATAGCTTTGGACAATATGGGAAAATGAGACTCCCTAGAGCACAGCTACTCCGTGATACATTTAAGGGCCCTATGATACATCATATAAAACTCGTTTGACGAAGCATGTTTAATCGCAGTCACCTCTTCTAAATGCTGTTTAGTATCTATGTAACCACCTTGAAAAAGTTAGAGTTGCAAATTGATTAAATTTGTAAATTACAATTTTAACAAGAATCATAAAAAATAAATGCCTTAAATCCAAGCCTGCAGAGGAATGTAAGACAAAAAACAATTCTAGGACAATTGGTTTGTTGATCACACTATGAGAAGGAACACTGATTCGTGGTATCTGCAAAGCAGAGATGGGAATACAATGCACTAACACTAGCAAATTAGGAAAATAAGTACTTCAGCATTGTTTTGTGCATCTGTTTTTTTTCTTCCGTAACTACTATAAAATTTATTTATTTTTTTTTAATATTTACCACAATTTTCACCGGAAGCTGACATATCTTATTTTTAAAGCAACCACCAAGACTAGGATCTCTGAAGCCTTTTAAAAAGGAATAACAAATAGTAAAAACACTCAGAAATGACGTGAAATTTTATATCCTATTCCTTTCGCATACTTCTGCTACAACAGCTATAACAGGAGTTCAGAAATGTAAAATCTCATGCTGGTAGCTATGTTCTGTTATCCCACTGCATACAGCATTAAGTATGGCATTCTCCAGCAATGATGCATTGGTAGTTAACACATCCTACCAGCTGTATGATGATGCTTCAGCTTCCTTCTGTCCCATTTACCTAACCTGAGTTCATGTTAACAGAGACTTCACAGTCTCTTTCCTTCTTGTCCGTATTCCAGATGCCTTCTATCCTGACAACCACACTGGACTGAAAGTCCTTTAAAGAGCATACAGAGAAAGTGCAGTAACTTTGTGCTGTTGCTCCATAAGCAGCAGAACTGTGCAGGTCCTTTGGTTTGCTTACAAGCTGCTGAAGATCATGCATTAGGGACTTTCTACACCACTGTTGTATTTTACCATTTAAAAAAAAAAAAGCACCTCTTCAGATTATTTAGGGTATTAGAAACATGAGAACATGCATTTCTTTCCCACCACACTTCTGAGTCTCATCTCTACCTCTTTTAAACACATATAATGATCAGAAATGTAGATTATTCAGTCATAACTAGTCTTTTGGCACTGAGCTCCACCTGCTGACAACTTTTTCCAGCATTACAGAGCTTGCATACCAAGTCTCAGTTTTATCAGTGGTTCCAGTATAATGCTAAGGTACACAAAATATAGTCTATATGAATCATGCCTATGCTGAAATAATAATATGGGTTCTAAACAGGACCTGAAGTAGTGCCAATTTAACTCCCACATGCCCTGAAGTGATGCATTCTATTTAAAAAAGAAAAACACTAAATAGTCATCAGAAAAAGTAAATACATATTTTTAAAGATACTGGGTTTGCACCTTCACAATATTTGTTTCTGTCATTTAGGAAAATAGGAAGAGACATTAAAATGGCACACAGACTTCACTGTATGGATGCTAAACAAAATTAATTACTATTTTGTATTATTGTTTGGTATTAAGTCTACTGCGAGGCTTTTGTTCTCCCTGAAGATTTCTTGTTCTGTAACAATATTCAAGTCAATACTGATCTTCTAATTGTAAAGTCTTACCATGAAATGCAAACCACCATTGTTATACTTAATTACTTCAGCAAATTTTACACTGGCACTGCAATGTTCCAAATATTCTTGGTGTTTTTATTTCTAATCAGATGATTAGATGCAATAGGGCTTTCTTTGTTTTAATTGTGGTGGACTATTACCACACTCTGTTGATCCAATTAATAACAAGAAAAACATACGTATTTTAAGAGAAACGACAATGCAAGCATTCATTAACTGCACACTGAAAAGCTAGCTCAAGCTTCCAGTTAGTTTCTGTAAAATGACATAACGTAATAACTTGGATACTACGTTATTTTGACAAAAATATAATTTTTTTACTAGGAACGATCAACTACTACACAATGTCTACCTCCCTACTTCATATAAGTATAGAAGAACAAGTAAACTATAATTCTCCTGATTACATTGGGCACAATATTGCAACTGCAACTATTCTAAGGAACTTAAATATCTCTCACCATGCAAGAGCATGGTTATCCCATTATAAAGCTATAAATGTTAGAAAATAGAAGAGACAGTGTGGTGTTTTTTTTTTCATATAGGATGCCAGGATCGTTGAATACAATCATTCAGGATTTTTTCTTATTCTTTGCTATAGTATCATGACTGAACAAAACAATCATCCAGCAATTTTCTGTTTTCTTAAAATGTGTGCATGAACAACAAGATAGAGCTAACAGTCTGCAAAACGTAAGCTATATTCACGAACCCAAACCATACAGAAGACCAAAAAATATGAACCTTCCTACAATTCAGAGACAAAAAGGAACAAGGAAACATAAGAAGCTATAAAATGGCACACAGGTAACATAAGCTTGTCTATAAAATTCTATCAGTGTTTCACAACTGCATTCCTTTTTAGTGTCCTACAGTACCATAACCTACTGTAAGAGATGGGAAACAAAACAATTTGCAAACTATTGCTCCATGAAATTGGCTGTATTTATATGATACAATACAAATACTTCATATAAACAGGACCTCAACTTTTTAATTTAAAATCACCAAAAAAAATCCAGTTGTGATTGAATACTTCTAAATACACTTCATATGCATGCTCGCAATACAAGCCAATACAACATTTGTCATTATTAAGAATTTTTAAAATATGCATTTACAATAAATTTTCCAAGGGGAATAATAACTACAATCAAATGTAGGCTCAGACTACACTTAGATTACATGGCTTTAGATAAAAAGGAGAAACCTAAATACATTTATAGTTGAGGAAACTATGATCCTCCTGAATATGCCAGGATAAGCATCAGCAGCAAGAATGTTCCATTTCTGATCATTTATCGCCTACATAATTTTAAGGACTCTTACTGAAAAAGAAAAAAAAAAAAAACTACTATGCAAATTGACAGGATGCTTATTTAAATACACAGCTCATCTGACTGTTACTTTTCTGACTGAGAGGTCAAGTCTTCCCTCTTGAATATGCCTTTATTTTTTTTTGAAAAAACATTGAAAGAAATGGAACAAAGTTTTATTAAGTTAAATTGCAGTTCTACCTACCAGTATTTAGTCAGTTTATTAGCACGGGATATCAACTTATTAGTTAAACAAAACTTAAGTGGTATTTGCCTGTCTTGAATAACTCATTCATGGGAAAACACCCAGCACTTAAACCATATCAATTTTTCATGATGTATACAAATCACAGTACTAAATTCTCTGGAGTCAAATTAACAAAAATATTGTTATTCTTGGCACACTTAACATATGTGAGAATATATTTCTCTCGTAATTCTAAAAATCTCAATACAAGTCTCTTTCAGCCAAAAGAAAACTTATCATAGATAACTTTCATTCAAAAAAAATCCTGAGGTCAAAATTCTATATAGCGTACATATATACGCAAGGATTATTTTCTCCTACACACCAAAACACAAGTTTGGACACCAGAAGAAAGACTTTAGTAACCTTGAAGTGGGGTGGAAAAATACCATTCTACCATTTAGACTGCTCAGGCAATATTCAGTAGCACTACTGCAGGTTAGTAGAAGAAGCTAACAAGATCACCTACCTCCAAACAAACCCTAAGCCTCATGTTTTTTAACAATCATTTTCCTGATCCATCCCATTCTCTTTACTCATCATTTTGTGTATTATCATCTCCTCCTAGATCATGGTATGCATTCACGTTGCACAAACTAATGTTTTGTAACAATGAAAATGGACAGTGTCTTGTAAATATTAAACAAATGTAGTGGCATTAAGAAAACACTGACAGTTAAGTATAACTGTAGGAATGTAGAAAAAAGAACTCAGTTCCACAAATAGATAGAGAAAACAAAAGCTTTCCTCTCAAAGACAGACATTTCTTCATCACTAGTGCTCTGTGGACCAAAAGAAGGCTGGCTAAACCTCTAAAGAAAACAAGTCACAAACACCTCAAATATGTCAAACCTCATCCATAAAAGCAAACACTACTGACTGTCCCTTTAGTAAACAGGTAACAGTTGGGTTTTTTTGTTTGTTTGTTTATGTGGCTTACTGTCTCTCCACATAGCTGCACAAAACTGAGAAAAGGAAGTCACAAAACATTAGCAAAGTACTTTTAAAAATTACATAGTGTCTCATCAAGTAGAACAGTAAGTTTACTTTGATTATCAAGAGCATGTAAACATTTAAAAATAAGTTGCAAAGAAACAAATGTTAGTTGAAAAGAATTATTAGAGTATGTAATATTAATTTCTAATTTACACACTGTATGCATTGATTCCAACAGCTTTTACCGTTAGTTCTCTATCTGTATCTGTGAGTGTATTTCTTCAACACAGCTGACAAAATTACCAATAGCTACTCAGTCATGTTCATTAAATCTATTTAAGGATTTACACTTTTAATTATAAAGCAATCTAATGAGAACCTTAGCACAAAGGGTATGGAAGGCCAAATAAAGTCTATGGACATACACAAAGTATTAGAATTTATTACATCTTAAAAAAATAAATAAATCACACAACTGAACTGTTTTTCTAAACAACTAAGTCTCCATAAACGCAAAGTGAAGTTTATTCACTTCAGTTATCCATGTAAATGTATGTCTTGAGCCTCTTATCTCAGGTCCAAAGTACAATAGCACAGCTGCACAATTCAGTAAAACTTACCATAGAAGTGACTGATCTGGCATCTTCTTCATAATTCACTACAGGTGGTGGTTCTTTCCCATCATTCTCCTGAACCTTTTGTTCCAGTAGTTCTTTCTGGGCTGCAAATTTTGCCTCTGAGCATCTTAATTGCTGAACTGTTTGCTTAAGTTCTTCCAGTGCTTGCTTTTGGCTCAACAAAAGAACAATACTGCAAAGAAAAATAATTTTAAAATGCACATAATTTAAAATGGTTACTTTGCTTTACAAGAACTATAAAGTATTTTCAATACTGGAGATTGCTTTTTGGTGTAGGGTTTTTTTTTCACCACTTTATCTACTCACTCAATGAAGGAAATTTTATTAAACTTTTATAAGAGCATGAAAATTCTTCAGCAGAGTTATTCGTTGAAAGACATAAGCACGTGAAGCCAATATTAGAAAATTCTCAAACCTCCAAGACAAAAAAGCAATATATTTTACTTTGCCATTAGTTTTCTTATTTCAATCTGTAACAAAAATAATAAATGCAGATACTACTACTTTCATCCACTTTTGACTGAATTTATAACCACTAGGGTTCCCCATCCTTTAGAGAAGAAACAGACTTTTAGATTATGATTTCCAGTGATGAGAAACCCACTGCAATCCATACAGTTGTTGCAATAAGCATTTTCAATATACTGAGTGTAAGGATGAGGTTAATAAATTGGCCCAGCCTAAGGTTAGAGATATCTGTTGTCTCTGTCTTCAAGACTGAAAGAAGACTCTGCTGCTTAGGTATATATTTTGGACTATAGACAAGTAGCTGCTTAACATTCTTAAGCTAAATAAATTGAGCTCCACAAGTAACTAAAACACTTTTTTTTCTCTCATCCTTGATGTTTTTGTTTTTTTTTTTCACTCTGCTCTGAATATCCCTCTGTTTCTGCAATATGTACTGAAACTGGATCCCATATTCTATTTGTGGTCTTACCTATACCACCATTACATAGTATTTTTCCATTAATGGATTCAGAAATCACAGGAGCATTTTCAAATTACCCTTCTTACCTCCAACCCTATTCCTAATGCAGAGCAACGGCCACCCTCAACTACCATAAGCTTTCCTTTTTGTTTGTGTAAGTTTACATTTTGGTTAACCTCTGGTGGTTAGACCTCTACAGGTCCCTTCCAAACTCAATCACTGATCCTGTGATACATTCGGATAGATTAAAACACCGCTAGCCAAGCACAATAGAGAACTCAGTTGGAGCTTACTAGTGTGTCACCTCAACTCATCAGTTATAGTTTTCTTCCAGGTCAGTAACTCAGACTAACAAGATTTAGTTAGTTATGTTTTATGTCCACTTTCCAGTTTTCAGCCTATTTATCGACTCTTCTTTATTTGAGAGATTTAATGCCTCCATTCTTACACTGACAGACTTCAAACTGTTACCTTATAAAAAAACAGCTTGTTAAGGACCCAAGATTGTCCTTTCTCAAACAACAGTTGCAGCACTGAAAACTACTAATCCATTTTTGTGGTGGAAACAAGCTTAGAATGAAAGAAAAATGTAGGTGGCCTTCAAGCAGACATCTACATAAAGAGACTGTACTTGTCTCTTACCACTCTCCTGTGCTGCAATCATCAAGGTTTCCACCTTCGTTGCAGGCAACTGGAGAGACATTTGAAGAGACTCCACACAGAAATAAATAAACGCATAACTAAACAAAGCCCCAGATCCTGCAGCTTGCCTGGAAATGAATGAAGTTGAGTCTGGGGGACACCAGAAGGATGTAGACCTGTGTGTGTAAAAGCAGAACGTCCTTCTTACATTGACACTGTCAAGTACAAATTCAGTTTTAAGAGCATGAAACGACAGTACTAAAGAAATGCTAGAAAGCTGATTTCCTCATTTGGAAAACACAAGAGATCAATTAATTGAAGATGGCCATAAGAAAGCTCTTCACATTAAGCTATCAAAGAACCCCCACATTCAACTTAAAGACACACTCCAAAATAGACAATTGAGCAGGTACCTAGATGGCTCTGTTGCCCTGAGGAACTGCCCAAACACCAAAGATGGACAGAAATTGCCCAGCAAAGAAGAGCATCCATGGTACAACGCGGACAACCGTAATAGCACTCCAACTGAGCCTAGAAACACGGTCTAGAAAGAAACAGAGTTCTCACAGTCTGAAAGCACAGATGAAGGAAGTCAAGGACCAGGTCTACTGAGAACAAGGGCATCGAAGAAGATTGCAGTACTATGTCCCTCTGTACCTTTGGGATAACTTCTGGAAGACAGACACTCCTGTGAGCTCTCCCCCTTTGGAGAAAAAAGGAAACTTAGAAATTATCCCTGTTTACAACCTGGGCAGATACTGAAGGATTTTTCATTTGCCCTGGCAAAAACAAATGTGTCTCACATTATTCCTGCTTTAGAAATGAAACTGGTTGTTGTGCTCTTGAACAAGGTTCAAGTAGCTCTGTCGACACTGCCCACAAAACTACTGGAAAATCCATAAAAAAAAAAAAAAATTAAAAAATTGCAAGGCTTATCAGTTTTGCACATCCACAGCTTCAATTGTGTCCAAAAAAGCATGGGAGACCTTACTCAACCCTGTTGTTGACACAGTAGCTGCTCTGCCATAACTTGCACATGTAAACACTGGATGTGGAATAGGCATAGCCCGAACACACTAAAATCCAGAAGTCTTAGATGACAAAATTATTCCTTCGCAAACTATCCTGAGACAGATGATTATTCAAACAAGTTCTGAAGTAATAAGAACCATCTGTCACTGGCATGAAAAGATAAAATGTCATATCCCCAGAGATGTGCACTGTACTAAGCTACCAAAGAAACTAAGCCCTTACAACCAGTCAAATGATCACTTGTATGGAAAGGATGAGCATGATGTACGAAGCCACAACTGGAGGACCCGAAAGCAAAGTTCATCATGAGACTGTGGATATTTAAAAACATCACACAAAGGGATTAATAATCTCTCCTGAAGACAGCGTTCTTCATCTCACTATGGGAGAGGCAAAAAAAATAAATAAATCTCCCCGTGACAATATGGCCTTTTACCATCAGGAAAACTTTGGAGAATATACCACATCAGCTAAAATGTCAGTAACCCAATTGCTAAGTGGTTACAACTCATGATCCAGAGATAAGACATATCCTAGATATTGAAACTCCAGTGCTCCATTCTCTTTCCTAGACTGTGGCAAGACAAATACCAGGATAACTATCTGCCTTTTTGCCCAAATCTGTCAGAGAACGTTCACCAATCCATCTATCCATAAAGAATTAGCATCTATAAACTCTTTGCCTATCCCTTTTATGAATGCAAACTTTGTGGTTCCTGTGGCTAGCAAGAGCTACTACCAGCCTCACAGAGTGAGATCTTATCTAAAAAATGCTTGTGAGACCAGAAGAGGGCAACAGGTAGGAAAGTGGTAGAAAGGCAAACTGAATCAAAGACCAAATATCCAATATGCTACCCTCTCAGGAGTGCAGATGGTATACTGTGCGCACACAGACACACACATATATATAAAACAATCTCTGTGTTGCAGGTGATTTTGTCATTTGAAGGCGGAACTGGATATTGGTGCCAGGAAAATATTACCAACGCAGTTTAATATTGAGGAGTAACACAAAATCGGGTGTGGAGATACACTTCACCACATGCCCTAATGAAAAATGCAGTAGGTGTAAAGCTCAATTCATAGTGCTGCCAGAATTAGACACAGAGAAATACTATCAAGCCCCAGCACAGACTGCCACTGTGAAGTCAGTAAACACAGCTCAGACTGGCAGTGCTGAAGCTGGGTCAGAAAGAAATGGGGAGGCAAATGAATTGCAAACTGGTTCAAGGGAAGGAAATAAGAAACTCAGTTTTGCAGATTTTACCATCATATTGCCCAGATAAAACAGATACAGAGAAGATCTCCTCAGCACTGAAAGGTGAAGTTCAACTCCTTAGGTGAGGCTCAGTAACATAGCCTCAAGACAGGTGTAGTCTGGACTGAAACCAGCTTCTCAACACCACAAATGTCTGCTACAGGATTGGCCAACAGAGCCTACATGCAGCAGGAAGGCCGGGATAGTCTGAACTACTTTCAGAGAGACAGAAAGGCAATAATGAAGAAACATTCCTAAGGAAAAGCAGCAAAAATGACAATGACAAAGTCATGTTATTAAATATATATATATATATATATATATATATATATATATAAAACTCTCTGGTTCAGACTGTTTATCCTTTATGCAACGTGCAGCAAGAAGGTCATGAATTCATCAATTAGGTAACCAGAAAATATACTGTGAGTATATGTAGAATTCATCAAAGAAAGTCATCAAAGAAAGAACAGAAAATTATCTAATCACAGTAACTAAACACAAATAAAGTTTCCTATATGAGTAAAATACAATTGGTAGCCTCAATTGACAAGGTGCCTTCAACAGATAGCTAAGAATGTCTCTTTTGTGTATGCAGACAGTATTACCTGAGGAATTGTATTCCATTTCACCGGTATTGTAAATCAGTACTTATGACCAAGTTAGTATGACTATGACTGGTCACAAAAAGAATTGGAAAAACATCACTACAAACATAAAAGTGCTTTTGTGTTTTTTTTTTAATCTGATATAATTACTTCAGTCTAGACTAGGATGTGAATATTAACCAGAGGTAGAAGACGACCAGTGATCTGGCACCAGAATGACTCATTGTGATGAATGATTTATTTATGGCATGTAAAATAACCATTAATCCCTCACCTTCATTATTTACTGAGCGGTACCATAGGGTATATTGCTTCTACATTCAGTATGCTGAATAAAATGCCATAAAGAATGAACCCAATCTGACAAGTCCCAAACATATTATTGCATAAGAAAGATTACACGCCTTCTACATGACTTCCACTCTGAAAAGTCTTTCACAAAATTGTACGTACACAATGAACTCTGTCAGTCAAAGAGACAACCTAAATTGACTCTTTTTCTTCCTTCAAGCTGAAATTATAACACTAACAAAGGTCCAGTTCTTCAGCCATCACAACAGTATGACAACAAAATTAATTTAAAAGAGGCAGTCAATTCTCTAATTAACCAGGATCTGGAGTCAGGAAGCTTTATTTTTGAAATGGGAAACTACATGTACCTTGTTGCTGTTTATAAATAAGAATAATTTCTGACAAAAGCAGAACAAGACTACTACAGATTACTTCTGAAGTATTAAGAATTACATTATACACACTTTTCCCTCAAATTATTATATTTTGAAATTTCAATTCCACTTACTCTGACTTCTTTTCACAAGTCTTAGAGGACTCTTCTATTTTTTTCTCTAGTTCCAACACAAGTTCCTCTTTGCTCAGAAGCGTTTGCTGTGTTTGCATCAGTTCTTCTATTACTGTTTTTAACCTGTAAGACATACATTACAGAAATACATACTGTGAATACAAAAACTTTACAACTTTGTAAACTTCTGTTGTTGTTTTTCCTGAGGATGAGAAGAAACATTAGTCTTTAATTTATACTACTCGGTGCTTGATGGCCTTTCTTGTGAATACTGATTTATATTACACTATTAATCTATATTTTTACAAATCCACACTAGCCTGTGTAAACATATAAGGTTACAGAATGATCTGCTGCCTACAGGTTCTTCTATCAGTAAAATTTTCTCTAGAATGCATGATGAGTTTTCTGAACTAATGCCTTCCTAATATAATGCTAATATATGAGACGTTTTACAAAAAAAACAAAAACCTTAAGACTGATGAAGCACATTGATAAAATACACAGAATTGGTAGTTCGGATGTATTCACATTTAGAAACAATGAAAAAAGAACTAACAGGTCCTGCATTACAAATTAAAATAGCTCTTTTCACAATAAAAGCAAGATGCATACTTTTCTCTACAATTAACTTTTTTTTAAAGCCACATAATCTTTGGTACTGGAAAATTCAGAGTCAAGAAAAAACTTGTACAAGAACACTTAATACTAACAGAAAAACAGTTATTGCACATCAAAAGCATTACTGGAACTTTGCAATTATAGCAGTAAGTATTTCAATAACCAAAAAGTCAACAAATGTAACATGAGACTTTGTGACACACTTCTCATACAACCCTGCACAAACACTCACATAATGATGACTTCTAAAATACATATCAAACTAGATATGTTGGAATCAAGCAATTGTTAAACCAGGAGGAAAATTAAAGAAAGAAAACTTTTGTGTGTGCATGTGTATAAAAAATATAGAAAATATATATGGACAAGCAAATGCCCAAAAGGAAGTGGTATATATAGGACTGTGTGCATCTTCCCTTACCTATTCATCTTTGTCTGCTTTCTCCAGATTTTCAAGCCCAATTTTAGAGTAGTAAAGAGTGGAATAAAATCAAAATATTTTAGTACTTGCTACTGCACAGATCTGTTGCTCCAAACCATTTCAGATGTGAGAGTGTCAGAGGTCAACCAAGAGTAATTTACATGCTCTAGATATCTACGACCCATGTTCTAGATGGTGCTATATGTACCAAAATGAATAATTTAATCTTAACATTGAATTAGTTCTCTCTCCTCCCAATATATTTTATACAATGTTGATTAAACATTCTTTATTCAGCCAGTCAGAGATGTTATAAGACTCAAATGACTATAAAAAAGCCATATACTGAACGATAAAAGTTTACTTCCCAAATGAACAAGCATCTGCATGTGTTTATTTTGAGATAAGAACAACACTTGAAACATTTCTCAGAAGCCCATTTTTTTCATCAGACATTTTTATTGTTATTAGGTTATCAGAATTTTTATGCTGAACTTCTCAGAAACAACAATTTTCTTACACAGACTCTAATTTAATATCAGCTATCAACTTTTTTAATACATTGCTTAAAAATTAATTACCAATTCTCTAACTGAAAATACTGCTTTTTGATCAGTCTTCTAATCAGCATTTTAATCAACGCTGTATTTGGCTCAAAAACTGACTTACAAGAAGCAGATGTTACACTTAGAAATTTGCAAGTTAGATCAGTATATTGCATCCTTTATCAATAGATGATGACTTTTTAAAGATCCATTCTACATGTGCTGAAATAACAGGAATTAGGCTGATGATCTTTAGTTGTGAGATCATTGCCTTGCATCTTCAAAGTACTGTAACAGAATGTTTCTGCAGAGGAGACAGAGCTTCAGTATCTACCAAATATAGATATACTTAAGCACCAGTATTCAAGGAATTAAAACCAAACGTGTAAGATTGTTCATCATTGGAATGTATGATTGCATACATGACAAATCAACACACTGAAATATTTTAACTTCTCAAAAATGTTTGATTGTATATTACAGCATCATAGTGAAACAAAGTCAATGTAGTTCTTCCAAAAATTTCTGAGTTACTTTAGGATCTTCCAAGCATCAACTTTTTACTGTTCTGCTTTTGCAAATATTTCAATATTGGTCTAAGACAGTCATCAATATTTATTAGGAGACACTATGTCTCTCTAACAACTTAGAAGGGTTAGTTAGTACCTCTCTCTGTCAAATCTTTAGCCATACTTACCTAAAAACAAAAAGCTGAGACAGTTTTCTCATCACTTATCTAAAATGTATTTTAAGGATATATAGCTTATTAAGTCCTCCAATAAGTTATGCATGTAAAGTTGTCGATTGTCTCTTGTATGCTCACAAATACAAACAAAATTACTGAGTTTGGATCAATATACATTTTTGTATCCCTTCAAAGTCTGGAAATTAAAACCAGTCAGTGTACTGGATTTATCTATATTTGGTAGATACTGAAACTATTTCTTCTATGCAAAAAATTTTTGATATAGTATTTAAAAGATCCAAGGAAGTGATCTAAACACTAAAGTTGAGTTCAACAGTCTAATTCCTACTGTTTTAGCACACAGAAGGGAAAAAAATCATCATCTATCGATAAATATACTGAACTTACTTGCAAACATCTAGTAATGCATAGTAAGATGATACAAATACCTGTTTTTGTTTGATTTTCTATAGTGGTTTTAAATCAAGACTATAGCAAAAAACAAAACAAAACAAAACAAAAAAGCAGCAGTTAATGAGACATATTAGTAAAAGCAGTTAAAGAGAACTAAATAGTTGTAAAAGGAAGGGCTTCTCACCTGGACTAAAAAGCAAACCAAAAACGGAACAAAGAAGATAAGAATAAGCAGTCAGTTTTCACAATGCTGGGAGATATCTAGCGGAGCTCCACAAAAATCTGAACTTAATACATTCATAATAACCCATACAAAGGGCAATTTAAAAAGTGACAAAGAATGCTGATACAATGTTTTTGAGCTAATAAAGGAGGGAGCTGAATGTGAAGAACAGAAAAGGATTTTGCTGGATCTTAAAATGCTCAGTAACTGGATTGTTATTTAAAAGATTAATTTCAATTCATATTGAAATAAGCAAATACACAGAAGAAAAAACAATCCAAAACTTTATTTATGCAGCAAATGGCTGGCTGTAAACTGACCAGTGCCACTCAGAAATTAGATTTTGAAATTAAAATGGATGATTCCATGAAAGCAATGCTTGACACACTGCACCAGTCAGGAAATCAAATGGAACGACTCCCTTGTATTTGTTAGAAATGAAGCAGAAGAAAGGAAACCTCATTATGCAATTTTCTAATCTATGCACCTGGATTACCTGTACAATTCTGGTCATTCATCTCGAAAACAATACAGTAACCCTAGAAACGTTCAAAGATAGATGACAGGCTTGAGAAAAGGTATGAATAAGTTCTTTGAAAGGAGTAACTACAATTAAAGACTCCTCTGAAAAAAAATGATAGAGGAGGAGTACGACAACAACTTAGACTATCATGCGTGGAGAGGAGTAGATTATTCCTATTCTTTGCCAAAACAAGGACTTAGTCAAAAAAATTTAAACTAAAAATTAACAGGCTCATACATTATGAAGCTAACCTTTAGAATTCCTTGACTGACAATAGATGCTTGTACATATTGAAACTGACTGGACAAACTCACAAAAGAAATCTAATACTATTACAAATACTACTTCCAAGTCGTAACATATCCAAGCTGAAAAATATGAGATGACACTGTTCTTAATCTCCTCCCTAGTTTTCCCTGTTGACCAATGCCAGAGAGAAGATATGCTGATGTCTTATTAAAGCCAAAAAGTAAATTACTTATTGTTTTGAGCTACAGTTTTTCTGAGACTCTACCTTCTGTAAGACATATTGAAGAGGTAGATTTTGTGCATGTATTTTTTCCTGTTACAGAGCTGAAGATGATCTAGATATGTACAATGTTTACATAGCTTATCCAGGAATAATCCCACTTTAGTAATGATGCAGAATATGTTATTAGTGTATTATTAACAGAAGCATGTTTAAACAGAAGGGAAGGGTTTTAATTATCATGGGATTATTTCACAAGAAAGATGAAGCTGTTTTAGTACTGAGGAAGACAAGTCTGACAAGGAAAGCTAAAAGTGTACATTGAAGAACTTACTGCAATACCTATTTAAGAAAAAAATATTAAAAGGAATTGGATTACACAGGAAAGAAAGAGATGACAGCTAATGACCTTGAAAAGGAATGAAGAAAATCTAGGGAATCTGTCATAGTGAGGAAGCATGGGATTAGAACAATCTACGGAAGCTTTACTGTAACGTGTTTATATTTGAAATACCTTACTGTTATGAAGACTCTCTATGACTTTGGTTTTCACAATAACCTATAAGAAACAAGAGTTTCTTTCTCCAAGTTTGCTTAAGCAGAAAAAATTAAAAAGAAAAAAACAAAAAACAAACACTGCTTTGTTACTTAGATTAGCTATGCTTTTGAAAACAAACAAGTCAAACATGGGCTGAAATAAAGTATAGACACCAAATCATTACAAAACAATGAAATTCTGACTTTGCCATTTTGAACTGCTGTAGTAAATATAAAAAAATACCTGAAGTGTACAATTAATACTTGCAATCTCACAAGTGACTGCATTGGACCATTTTACGGAAAAATTAAGGTTGATATGAGAACATTCTAACAAAGGATAACTTCAGCAGGAAATTTGTTCCCCAGTAACAACTGATTAAAGGTGAAATCGGTAAAATTAATTAAAATATTTGAATACACTGATATGCATATTAAAATATGCAGAAATATTTTACCACGCTGACTGACTGAAGGTTCCATGAAATGCAATACAACAGCTACACCTGTTTTAGTAAGTTAACATTTCAAAAGTTATAAGGATGAATGAGAATTTCCTTTAAAAACTAAAACAAACATTTACAAAACAAGTGAAATAATCCATTTGAAAACTTCTCTGGATGGCAATCCAAATCATTGACTGCAGTCCTGTACTCAGTGGCTTCATCAACAGATGTCAACGTTTTTCCTAGAAAACTGAATGTGGAAACAGTTTTGGGAAGATACATGTAAGTAAATGAATTCCCAGTGAGGATTTATGACAAATATGGGGCACTGTATAAATTAAACAGGGAGGAAAGGTAACTATATTGATAGCGTTGACAAGTCTTCCGCGGGGCCTCGGCACGTTGTGCTAAAGAACAATAAAAACAGCAACAAACAAGGGCTTAGACCCTGCAAATTCTCTTTTTAGAAAGCAGACCTTAAAAATGAGGACACAGCAAAGCAATGAGATGAGTGAGATGTAAGTTAGGACAGCATTTCCGAAGCGTGAAAGTTTTGTTAAGACTTACGTGACTTGTAAACTTTCTGCTGTTAGATTATTCCACATGATCTCATTAGCTTGAAGGTTTTCATTTTCTTCTAATAAAGATGTATCAAACTCTATTTCTTGTTCAACAACTTCTGATGACCTAATCCAGTAAATAAATGTTGTATTTGTAAAATTAACATGCATCTTTCAGTGGAGCATAAAGCAAATCATTACACTTTGAATTATTTTAGTAATGGAATATAGATAAAATCACGTATGGAATAAATGGAAAGCAGCAACTGCATCTTCTTCTTCCTTTGAATGAACAACACAGTCCTAAAACCATACCAGAGTATAAAACTGAATACAGTTCTTTGAATTAAGCTCACATGATAACCGAGGTTCTCAGGGAATCTGCATAGTTCCACTAATCCTGCTATAAACCTAACCACTACCAATTTGCAAATTAACAAACAAGGTCTTAAAACTATTCCACATGTAACAATGTACAGTAACAGTTCAATAAATGGTTAATACAATCCTTGTTCATTTGTCAGTTTTTTAATATAAAACTTTACTGCATTAACAGAGAGTCACAGAATAGCTTGGGTTGGAAGGGACCTTAAGGATCATCCAGTTCCAACCCCCCTGCCATGGGCAGGGACACCTCCCACCAGACCAGGTTGCCCAGAGCCCCATCCAGCCTGGCCTTGAGCACCTCCAGGGATGGGGCATCCACAGCTTCTCTGGGCAGCCTGTGCCAGGGCCTCACCGTCCTCTGAAGAATTTCTAACCTCTCATCTCAATCTCCCCTCTTCTAGTTTAAAACCATTACCCCTAGTCCTGTCATTGTCTGTCTGAGCAAAAAGTTGCTCTCCATGCTTTTATAAGCCCCCTTTATGTACTGAAAAGCTGCAATGAGGTCTCTCAAGAGTGTTCTTTTCTCCAGGCTGAGCATCCACAGCTCTCTCCACCTTTCTTCATAGGTGGGCTGCTCCAGCCCTCTCTGCAGGGTTATCTTTGTGGCTCTCCTCTGGGCCCACTCTAACAGCCCCACATCCTCCTTGTGCTGGGGGCCCCAGCCCTGGATGCAGCACTCCAGGTGGGGCCTCACGAGGGCAGAGCTGAGGGGGGCAGTTACCTCCCTCCACCTGCTGCCCACCCCTCTGTTGATGCAGCCCAGGACGCAGTTGGCCTGCTGGGCTGCAAGCACACACTGCTGGCTCACATCAAAATTTTTCATCCACCAGAACCCCAAGTCTCTCTCTCCATAGGGCTGCTCTCAGTGAGTTCTTCTCCCAGTCTGTGCTCATGTCTTGGATTGCCCCAACCAAGGCGCAGCACCCTGCACCTGGGCTTGTTGAACCTTGTTAGGTTCACACGGGCCCACTTCTCCAGCTTGCCCAGGTCTCTCTGGATGGCATCCCTTCCTTCTATTGTATCAACTGCACCACCCAGCTTGGTGTCATCTGCAAACGTGCTGAGGGTGCACTCAATCCCACTGTGTGTCACTGATAAAGATACTAAACAGCACCAGTCCCAGGACAGGCCTCTGAGGGTCACCACTCATCGCTGGCCTCCACCTGGACGCAGAACCATTACCCAGCACTCTCTTGAGTGTGGCGTTCACACCAATTCCTTATCCACCAGATGGTCCACCCATCAAATCCTTATCTTCCCAGTTTGGAGACCTGAATGTCATGTGGGACGTGTCAGAGGCCTTATCTGTGTACTCAGATTGTTTCAGGCACTGCTCAATCTGCAATAACTGCAGTGTGCACAGAGATGCCTAGCATTCATTTACCCACAATATAGACAGTAAGAGAAATAAAGCAAACAAACAGCACAGCACAGGATGCAAACTGCATCCAAATACTCAGTAAATTAGCCCACGCTGAATCTAGATCAACACGTATTACCAAAGTTATGGTTCAGAGAATCATAACAACATTAATATGAATTTTGTTATTCTAGAACCAGACAAATAGATGGATGGTTAGAGAAACAGGGTTAAAAGGCTGACTTTCAGCCAACCTTCTTCTACACATGCAGGTAGAACTACTTTTTAGATTAGGATAAAGCTTTACAAGTAACAATGTAAACGGAAACAAAGAGAAATAAATTCAACTCTGATTGCTTAAACAGCATTGAAATTTAATGCAAGGTTTTCTTAAGAAACATTAAGATGCACAGCAAGAAGGAAATACACACCTGTGAGTATCTACGAAGTCATTATACTCAGAATTGGGGTCTATCTGTTCAACCGAGGTCTGGATCTCTTTATGGACGTTCACAATCTCTTCCGTAACGAGACTGGTGATCTGGCTATACTCATCCAAGATTCCTTTTCTAGAGAGGAAAAAAAATTCTAGTGTATAACATGGCACTGAAGGCATAGATGGCATTGAAGATGCTTCAAACTTTCAATTTGCTGTTTTTACAAATTCTTGTTGCAACTGGCTAAAAAGGGAAAAAATAAGACAATATATTACTCAAAGAAACAACAGATCAGTTGTGGCCTCTTCTTTACAAATTGGCCATCGGTGGAGAAGTCTCTAATAACATGCTCCTTGTACTGATTTCAGTGCATCTACATACAGGGTAGCTAAACTAAAGCTGTAGAGATTACAGGGAAAATGAACACACACAGCTCCTTGATGATACCTTTTTTCACAACAACATGTTTGTCTACACTGAAGTGTCTCATATTCCCTTGACTGATAAAATAAATATATTCTGGCATAAGGGAAAAGGCAGTGTGAAAACTGTTGGTGTTTTTTTCATCATTTCATCTATCCTTTAACATACATTCATTTTATGAAGTGGCGTACATCACAAGTTGGCATACATTTACAAGAAGAACCAAAATCAAGGAAGAAGTTCACACAAGAAAGTACATGTCATCCAGTCTTGTCATTACCTGGTCCCTGGAGTGGAGAAAAGCAAGTGATTAAAGAGTAGGAAAGGACTATGCCATATTGGACCACAAATTTTAATAGTATACAGTAGCACTTCCTCAGAATACTTTGCTGTCCTCCACTTTCCATAAATGAACCCTCAAAATCATTCACAATTTTATTTTATTTTTTTATTGACAGATTTTCTGGCTTGCCAGGTGCTGAAGTATAGCAAGCTTTTTCAAATACTGCTCAATTTTAACCATACCAGAGAAAAATGCAGAGAAAGAAGTATTAATATTTTATCCTGGATATGATCTCTAGACTTGTTTACTCAATAGGAAAACACTATTTGCTTGAATTTTTCCAGTACATTTTCTGAGGAGAGAACAGACAAGAGAAGCATTTTGTCTTGTCTGTGAACAACATGTCTGAAAACACTCCAGAAAACAATTCAAAGACAGCAACAAAAGAGATAAGCCAATGCCAGCTACAGCAATGCTATATCTAAGAGAAAGGGAATCAATGTCAACTACAAAATAATAATAATGTTAATCTATGCTTCAAGATTGCCAAACAAATTGATCTGCCAAATCGGGACTATTAAGGAAGTTTGTTTCATACATCTAGCAACATCTAGCTTCACACCTGACCTCACCACTTCTTTTTACAGAATTAAGCCCACAATTAACAGAAAGCACTAATTTTCCAATCATCTCAGATCTCACTAAAAATGATCAGCTATTGACAAAAATTGTTTCCAGTCCTTACCTCAGTGATAACAAAGACAAATGGGTTCAATAGGTTTTGCATGATAAAACTCTTCAGTGAATTACTATGACTTACATTTCTGAAAAATCAACTTAATTGCAACAGAAAAAAATACCTGTATTCTCTTGTGATTCTATATAAAGATTAAAAGGACTGAGGAGACTACTACAGAGGTCTATTTCATTTTATATAACCTGCACCAGCATCAAAGGCAGTAATACGATATACTACACGGGGCCATTAACGTTGTCTGCGTCACCTAAGCATGTAGAGTATGAAATCCTCAACTCTCCCTCACTTGCTGAAGTCAAGATGAACACAGGCTCCAAAAAAGGTAAGAAAATGAGTGCATCACATCTAAATGAACAATACCTACAAGAAAAAGTAACTACCCTGCCTTTTAAACTAAGTGATACACAGAATGCCCAGGAAAAAGACCTAACCAACTCACGTTCTTCAAGAAGGTCAGAGAGGCAGCACGGTGGTTACAGACCAGAAAAGAGGGCTTAAAGTACTAATTTTCTGTTCTCCGAGATCATCAGTTTGCATATCTGTTGTAATTATGTAGAGAATGACTTTTCAGGGAAAAGGTAATTGTATTTTTAAGGTTGGATTCCTTTCACTGAGATTAGGTCTACGTGATCCTGTTATTTGTCCATGCCTATGACTAACCATACATCTGCCTGGACCTCCTCCAAAATGACTGTCAAGATGGTTGGAGAGTTAAAAGCAAATTTTTTAGTGGGAGAGTTTCATAAAAATAAGACTACGGAGAGGCAACAAACACCTCTGTTATCCCAGCTAAAGGAGAGGACAAAGCATGAGCTCAACTGTAAACACTGCACTTTATCTGTCAAATTTAAATTTTACAAGAAGATAGTGTCTCACCGAAATGCTTAAGCATCCCCTGAAATCTACTGTCTGTATTTGGATACTTATCTATTCACAATTATTGTTAATTGAAAGATACAAGTAGCTTTTCTCATTATCCTTGATATAAAAATAATTAAAGTTTATTATTTTCTAATAAGTCTATAAATTAGGATACTGCACACAAAGTTTTGCATGTTTAAATATATGTATGAAGAGATCTTACAGGGCTTTAATCATTTCTTCTTGCATTTTCTGTAGAGAATCAAGTAACAGAGGAAGCGTAGTGTCATAATATTGGTGCTGGTGTAACTGTGCTCCTTTCAGTGCCAACACATACTGATTATGCAACATATGAAGCTTCATAGTGGCTTTATCACACCGATCTTTGGCTTTCTCAGTCTCCTTTCCTAACGAAAAACAAAAACAGAAGATGAAAAGTTGATTTAAAAGTACACAAACTTGCAGATAACATAATTCTAAAATATTCATGGTAAGTTTACAGCTTTTCTTCTCCTAAAGAAATACATTTCCAAAGTATTACTGTGAAGAAAGTAAAATTTGACCATTTTCAAGTGAAGAAAGTAAAATTTGACCGTTTTCAGGTTGTTAGTAAGACTGAATGCCTTGGTTTTCTTCTTCTGGACTAAGTAAGAAAAAACTGCATTTACTTTGAGTAGAAATCCAGTAATTCTTTATCTAAATTTATATGAAAACCACTACCTACACAGGTATAGAAATAATAGCATTATTAAGAATAAAACTCATTCATATGATTATCAAAAATGCTTTCTTTTTTTTTGCCTCAAAAGAAATGTTTGTTTTTTAAAGAAGAAAGTAAAAGATGTCCTACTAGGTTAGACCAATGATTCACCTAGAAGCTGTCATTTATTTTGAGCAAAAAATCTACTGCCACATATCATCCCAAGAAAGCACTGACGCAGCCTACATATCAGTAGCTGAACTCCAGCACTATTACTCCTCTACAAAACTTTCTGCCTTAATACTACAACTTAACATTCCCTCATCACTGTCGGTATGCATCAGGAAGCATCAGGAGGTCAGCATTACAATCTCATCTCCGTGCTACTGCAACCTAGAAATCTTCAAGTCCGTGCTTATAAGACCAGCTGGGTGCTGAACCAGGGTCACAATGTTCTTCAAGAGGTCATCTATTCTGCTCTTTGCCACGGTGATTGCACAGCTATGTGACATATGTTTCTGTGATCTTCCTACAATCTGCAATGACAGATAACTTTGCAACTTCCCAGTACAATCCAGGTCAGCGTGCTAGCTGCGATATGATAGCACAGCCAGCACTGCGTCAGCTGCGCTAGCTGAAGACACTCGCCCACCATCTCGTCCCTTCACTCTCCAATCTAATTTTTTATTGCTTTAATAAACTCTTTATACTCTCGCTTACTTCATCTGTGTGCCGTGGACATGAAATACAGATTCTACAGTTCTCTGGAATCCACCTTTTATACAGTAGAAAACTAGATTTTCTCCTCTTCTGCCCAGTCTTGTCATCTTCGCACTGAACAACGTACAGGTCTCCCCTTATCAATCCTGTTTTCTCTTTTCAGTCAAATGGCTCACAGCCTCACACAAGTGTAACTTCAGTCAAGGTTCAACTTTGAAAGCCACAGGATAAGTCATACATCCAGATGCTTCTAGATCATTTCAAATGAAAAAAAAGTGCTTTTTTTGGATGCCGTATAAACATGGCATCACTAATTAGTCATGACCTAATTAATCTGTTCCAGTTAATCTGATCGAGTTAATCTGATCTTGGAAGAAAAAAAAAGAACCCACTACATTTTTCCAACCATCTCTCCAGTTTCTCAAATTATTTTAAACTCTACAGCTGTCCTCCAATGCACTTTAAATCCCTTTAAGGTATAGTGAAACCTGCAAATTTAATAAGCAAACTCTGGTTCAAAGTGATGAAACACTGGAAGACCACCCACACCTAATCCCAACATATATCCTCTCATGTCCCACAGGATAGATTATTCTGACAGGACCCCGTTAATAACCATTCGCCAAGCAGTTTTATGCAGGCAGTTTTGCACCTCTATTAGGATATTTCCAACTTGATCATGCATTGCCCTTGTCATAAAAGGATAATATATTATTTTGACATGTTTCCTTACAGAGACATATAAGCTCTTACTCATATCCTCGTTATCTCCTCAATATTTATGAAGTGTCTGATATTTATGGAGTGTCTGATGACTTTTTTCAGGCACTGAAAGCATTCTAAATGAATCTGTATCTGCAATTATCAGACGCAGATTCACAATAACCTGCACAGATAAACGCACACTAACTAAAAATCTCAATCATACTGATACATTTCTTACAATCTTAAAATAAAGTAATAAAGAAAACTTTATTTTAACATGTAAACCACCTATCACAAAGCAGTAGATAAAACGAAAAAGTGGCAGATTGGGACTTGAAAGCAGACCTTGAAAAGCTGAAATTTTGTCAAACAAGGAACACTCAAAGGTTTGTGAACTCTGATAAATTAAAACATAGAAACACATTATCACATGTCAAAAAAGATTTGCAGGAAAAACTTGTAAAATAGCAATAAAACTGATAATAAATCCTCTTTCAAATACATTGGAGTCAGCAAGCTTGTCAGAAAATGTAAAGAATAGTTGTTATATAAAAGGAGCTGGTAGAAAAGAATCTTTTTCTGCATTCATTTTCACTGTGAATGACCTTCAGAGATTTCCATGCTGAAAAGTCTCTGTATGAAAGAGTCACAGAATCTCTCGTCAGAGACATCAGAAGAAGAGGTTAGAGAACAAACGAACTAAGAAAAAATTAGCAGGACAGGAAGGTATTTAGCTTTACAACTCAAAAGAAACTTGAGGAAGTTTTTTTCTGATCGGCTTTTAAAGGAGGAAGTAGGCACTCAGAGTGCCTCAGGAATATTAGTTGGGGCCTGATATATGAGGTGATAAATACATTGATAAGGATGTTAACTGAAGCGAACAACCAAAAACTCATTTTTCATGGGGAGACCATTTTATTTAATTATATATTATTTTCCCAAACGAAAACATCAGAATATTGTAGTACTTATTTCTAAGTTAAACATATATCACTTGGAGGGCAGTTTAGAAAAACAAAACAACAACAAAATAACAAAAAAAAAACGAACAGCATGCTCAGAATAGCATTCCAGAAATTGGAATGACTGAACATGGCTGACATCAGTGCACCGAGAGTACAGGAAAATGGTATAGTTCAGTATCCCATTCTCCTATCTGCCTTGAGGACTTTGCTATACACATTATTCCTTAGCAGAACACTCCAACAAATTTGAGAATAAATCAAATCACCATACACACCCAGCTTTCAAATACAGCTGGTTACAGTTGGCTGTCCAGAGACAAGACCTATCTACATGGTCTTTGTGGAGAATAAGAGAACACGTAAGGATGATGGAAAGGACTGAAGAGAGTCTGGAGAGGAAGCAGTCGGGTAGTAGCTACAGTACAGGGACTGGATGAAAGGGGAGAAGGCAGCTGGAAATCAGAGCAGGAAAAAACAAGCCTTCCTTGCCTTAGACTAACTCTTTAGCAGAGGCACTGGACTGAGCACTCCTTGGGAAAGGGGAACACAGCAGTGGGAGAGGAAGAAATGCTGGATCGTTTTTCGTTTTTATTACATGTTTGGCCACTCTTACTCAGGCTATTTGGCCAGCACGTTCGGAATTACATAATCCAAAATTATCTCAAAATATTATACTCTGGTATTTGAACTTCAAGTAATTTTCACTAGGAATTGAAATACTTGACTCTCTACAATGGCATAGCAAGAATGCCGGCCTTTTCTTTGCAAATGTCAAACTCTCATAATTGAATTTTGCAAGCTTCATAATACGGTTTATAGCCTAACATATTGTACACACAGTCTGTTTTTATAAACATTAAACAGATTTGTCAACAACTGGTGGCAGTAGAATTATAATTAGATCTATTTATGAAATTCATTATACAGATAAAGAAAATTGGATGTTTTCTTCTGTGTTAATTGACACATTGAACAACTGTGTTCTCAGCCTCACTGCATTTTGCTGTTTTATAAAACAAATTGCAATGCGGAAATAGTACGGTAGCTCTGTAGCTACATTTCTTTAATTAATCATAGGTCCAAAGACTACATTTAAAAGTTCAGTGTGTATGATACACTGATTTAGTCTAAAATTAGTGGACCTGTTCTCCTAAGGAGCAATGTATAGCAAAGGACTTTTCTCCACACAGATGGGAGGTTAAGACCTTAATGAGGTTTCTGAAAGAAATACAATATTGACAGTCTCTATTAGGTAGTAGTTATTTATGGTGTAAATTTTTGGTTTAGTTTAACAGCTGAAAACTGTTTGTGGTGATTCATAGTTCAGAAACCTTTACTGGTGGAGCACTGTACGGTTTGACACACGCTGGTAGGGGATGCAGCTTGAAGACATGCATGGGCAAGCTTCGGGTTTTAAGCTTTTCAAATCTGGATTACAGATCTTTTCTTCAAACAGCAAAACCATGACACTACAGAATGCAGAGTAAAGCATCCACTAATTTGCACAGAACAAAGATCAACCTCCTGATAGGTATCTGTAGTACAATGTTTACAGCTCAAGAACTAGTACAAGTTTAGCTGTTCACGTTTCAAGTTCAAATTCATGACAGTGTAGGTTAAAGTACTGACCAACACTTCAATATTTCTGCAACAGAAAATTCCAGTTAAGCTCCTTCAGTTCAAGCCCTTCAGCTAAATCTTATGTAACAGCTAATAATGAAAGTAAAGGTCCAAAAAGATCAAATAAAATCATTTAAGTTGATAAAGACCTCTAAGATCATCAGGTCCAACCATTAAAATATATGATTTTATTTAAAAATTATCCTTTTTAAGGAACAAAAGCATACAGTGCAAATCTCAGGTTTGAATAACATGAGATACAAATCGCTCCCCTCAAAATCAAAAGTCCTAAAAGAAACATTTTGGATAGATTAAGTGCAGAAAGTGGTCATAAAGAATTTCAGGACTGAATGCTCTAAGAAACAATTTCTTTATGTGTACCTTGTAGACCAGCTGGTAGAAAACAGAAGTGCAACACTCTACTTTAATGGATACATGCCACCACAACCCCCGAAGTTCTGTTTCACTGCAGATACAACAGCTCCAACAAAGCCCTCTACCAAAGAATCCTACTTTACAGAAAGATTGCATTTTTTTCCTCCCAGCATTGCTTTGCATCAGCAGGGAGAAAAGCTGTCTAGAAGACCTCCTCAAAGTATCAGTTTTTAAGCTGTTTGTTCTTAAGTTTGCTTTGTTTTTATTTGATTTGTTTGTTTGGGACCTCTGTGGACAGGAAAGGAAAAACATGTTTTAAAGA